TGGTATATACTAGTTCACAGTATTCATGGCACTACGGCCCAACGCTCAATAAACCGTTCTAAAACCAAGGACGTTACGCCCAGCGAGTATAACGTAGCAACCTTTCCTGTCAGATAGTGCTCAATGTACATTCCAATGGCTGCTAATGGGAAATGAGAGACAGGAGAATTCGGCTGTTACTTCCTTACGGCTTGCGCTTTGTATCTACTTCCCATCTTTAACCACCTCGAGTTCATGGTATATACTAGTTCATTGTATTCATGACACTGCGGCTCAATGCTCGCTAAACCTTTCTAAAACTAAGGAGGTTACACCCAGCGAGTATAACGTAGCAAGCCTTTCTTGTCAGATAGTGCTCAATGTGCATGTCAATGGCTGCTAATAGGGATTGCAGCGTGCGCGTTAACTAAAAGCCGAATGCTCCTGTCTCTCATTCCCATTTAGCAGCCATTGGCGTGTACATTGAGAACTATCATTTATTGTTCAACAACGCACAGAAGAAATCTCTCACCGGCACCACCTTGGAGGTCAAAATGTTATACTTGTTACACACTACAACCGCTACGAGGGACGAACAGGTGCCGCTATAAAAAGCTTCACCTCTAAAAGCTTTGGCTAATTATGCACCGACCGAACGAACAGGTGTGTAAACCAGCGGGCCCGGGAACACGACTTGACGCTCTCAAACGTTAAGGGCGCGCACCTTTCCGCGCAGTGTGCAGTGTGTGGCTGTGTGCTTTTCTTTGCTTGATTGCAGGTGCTGGCAAGCAGCTGGGAAATCGTTGTAGGTGAATTGTGTGATGCATTCTACTTGAATATAAAGGGTGTGGATTCCGTCAATCATATATCAATATATTAACGGGAGCGTGAATTTCAATTACTTTGTCGCAATATGACTTAGTCTAAAAATAGCAGTTTTGCAATGTGTGAGCTTCCACGTTTGTGATGTACGGTCTGCATAATTCTCACAATAATTTCATTATAAAATCAATTTGTAGTGAGCGCCCGTCCCGTCTGCTTGTCTTATGTGTCTTGTCGCTTTGAGATCTGTGTTTGTTTTTTCACTTTATGCACCGCATAAAGCAGTCAGCCGCCTGACCTGCTCGGTTGGTCAAGAGGGGCCATATTTAGAGCAAGTGTACCGCTATAGAAGGGCTCCAAAGTGCAAAGCAAGACATTGTATTCAATATAATTATTTGGCATGGGCGTTTATATGCCACCTAAGCGAGAAAATCGTCCGTCTGCTTGTCCGTTGATAACCTATGACGATCACTCCCACAAACACAGAGAGAAAAGAACATTTTCGTCGTAGAGCGCCGTTGAACATGGGTCCCACTGCACTGACTTGCCAACTGCATCTCGCTTTTGGAAGAATAGCTCAGATCCATTTGAATGTCCTGTGATAGTTTTTGCAAGTGAGGCACTTGCGTGTAGAAAACACAATGATCCAACGTGCGCCATTATGTATACTTTCTAAACTGTTCCCAAAGAGTCATTCCAAGTAGCTTTTCCAGAAAATCCTATCAATCCTGTGCGATTCTTTTCGCAGTCCTGTTACTAAAGAAGTGTTAATCTTTGTGTGCGTGTTTTTTTCTTTTTTTACTTGTATTGTTCGTTTGTTTTGCCTGGCTCTCTTTCTTTCTCTCATCGTATAAAGTGAAGCGCTGAAGTTGAGCTCCTCGGTTTCATAATCAGGTCGCGGTTCGATCCCTGAAGCCGCGGTCGCATTTCGATAGAGGCGAAATGGTACATGCCTGTGTACTGTGCGATGTCAGTATAAGTTAATGAACACTAGATAGTCAAAATTTTCCTAAGCACTCGTACTACAGCCTTTCTCGTATTCATATCGTCCTTTCGCCACGTGAAGCTATATACTCACACACTCGTTATCAGTTACATGTTCAAACACGATGACTATAGCGTAACGCAGCAAGGGCGTCGACGAGAGACACAAGTTTCACCTCCTCTGCTTGTCGACCTGCATTCCTTCCAGGCGGTGTGGACAAGCGTTGCCGCCGGCGCCCCGGGGGACGACGCCAGCCCCGAAACGCCCCTACTTCCCGAAGCCTCGGCGCCACCTCTCAAGCGCATGTCAGAGACGTACGCGCAGTACCTAGTAAGGCTTCGCAAGAGCGGCCAGCTGGATGCGGAAATAGAAGACGGGAGCGACTCCTTCGAAGGAGGATCCGGGCCGTCCAGGGACCCTTTCCAGGACCAAGGCGCCAGACGTCGCGCCCCTAGCGGCAAAAGCGATCCGGACGATCGCCATTAGTGACCAGAGCGCCTAATCACGCAAATTATATTATTAACTAAAAAACTTGTTGGGGAATATCTCTCCTAGGATAAGCTACATGAAAAAAAAGAAGGCTGGTCAACATTTAGGCGTTAATCACTCTGATTAGTTCATGCAAGCTTTTTAGGCTATAAATTTGTATAAATGACGAACGTATAAACTCCTAATCGCATATACATGTGGTGTAGTGGCTTAGCGTCTCCAACAAAGAACGAACGATGGGTGGTCGACGCGGCCGACGTTGACGCCAGCTAGCCATGACACGACGGGGTCGGTCCAGAGCAGCGAAGAAAGACGTCCACTCGACTCGAGAGCTCATCACGCACACTACACACTTGTTCGAATATCACCTCATAAGCGCACTCAAGGGCGCTTATGTGGTTGTTTTTTTTTTGTGACTACGGGACCTCCTCCTGTATATTCTTACGATGTATTCAATCCTTTGTTTGATTTAAAATATATGATCGATTCTGATTCTGAAGACGCGCTATCGCCTCTGCCAAGTGAGACACTACTCTGCAGTTTAAGACACATCAAAACTAGAGGTGAAGAAAACCACCAACCCAAGAATGATAAGAGAACCGACTAGCACACCAAGCCATAATACTGAATAAAAAGTCTCGGTACCCGTGGAAATTAAGCGATGACCTTGTTGGTGTATTCTTTTCTTATTAGCCCTAAACCTATTTGACTGCCTGACCGTTGGCACGTGCAGCATTTCCGTTCAATATTTACGATTTTATTTTATAGACTTAATTTATATTGGATGCTTATGAATATGCATCACACCCACCTAATGATCTTGTCACCCGGTTCTTAACCGATCCCGCTTTGTGGGTGAGTGCCACACATGTGAGAGGAACGCCATCACCAATTATCAGGATGATCTCCTTTAATGAAAAGGATTTTCATATACGTCGTGTGAATTACTGTCTGCATGATTGTATAATTTTGTATTTGATATAAGTGTATGTGAGAATTTGTTCGGAAATGTCTCTCTCCGAATAAGTAACGGGAAAAGCAGAGGGTGTGTGACAAGTTTCACTGCGATTTTTTATGTCCGAGTTTTGTGCCAGGTCCTTGTGAGCCTTGAACGACACTTTTTTAGATAGCATTGATTCTGCCCAGAAACTAACCCAAACAGCACAGCATAATACTGAAAACGAATTGTACCGCTGCTGTTGCGGATAAAACGTTCAGGTTGATTGCTACTAACCAACTGCATGTCCATGAGCAAAGTGCTATATAGTACTAATAACCTTCTTTTGTAACCAAAACTATCGTGAAAGGGGTGAAAGGATGTGAAGGTTTCCACGTTAATTATTTCTATTGAAATGCTATGTCATTTTCTTGTAGGTTGTATGTGCGTACTATGTTGTTGTTGTTTCCCTGTGCAAATGGCTCGTACCCAAAGAAGGGGATAGGCCAACTATAAGGTGATTTTGCCCTAAACTTTCAGCAATGCGTCATTCCTACAAATTTTTTGTAACTTAATTTTGATTTGAAATAACGATATCAAGTTTGCAGAAAAAAAAGAAAAATAGTGAGACAGTAATTTAGCAAGAAAATCGTTAAGTCGCAGTGATGTATTCTTGAACGGCGAATAAAACATCCCTGTGGCTGAAACCCAGTGTAGAGGCTCCAAATGAAAGAAGATCAGGTTGTGATAGGGGCGTACTAATAGAGGTTACAACAGAAGACGAACTGTGGCTCATACCCACTATGTAACAATCGTTTTATCGTACATTTGGCTCTTCGACAGGTAGCAACAAGGTGGAACTTGACCCTGATTCAAGCTAGAGAACGCGTGCCAGTGCTGAACTTCAAGCCGCTCGCCTAATCAGAAGCCGGAAAAGTATGCACGTCACGGCATCTTCCGTTGCGAACGAACAAGGTCCAAAAGTCGAAACATCAGATCTTGATAGCAATCCGAGGTCGAGATGCCTTGGAGCACTACGAGTTGTAGCGTGGTAGTCTGACAGAAATTGGTGAACGTATACTATTATCGAGTTTCCGCCCGGCTCTCGCGTGTGCCACTTCCTTCTCCTCTCCGGCCCGCGTTTCGGGCGCCGGGCCTTATGTTCTCCTCGCCACGTGTCCGACGCACGATACAACATATACCTAGTGCGAACACGCTCGAGGGCACCAGAAAAAGATACAGGAAAACCCCTTAATCATTTTTCAAGGCCAACAAAAAAATCGTCTTTAATAAAGTATCCACGGTGACGATGTTGATACGCTTATTATAGAGATGAGAAGACACGTTTGTCTTTCACCTTGAAGAATGCTGGACCAGGTGTCCTTGCGCGTGTTCGCTAGGAATATGGAAGCATTCACTCAGTCCTAACTAATCCTGCTGAATGCATGATTGAGTACACTTAGAGCACTCGTATTCGACTATCTGACCATGGCGCACGTCACCAGAGCACACTCGTGAGCTCAAAGAACAGCCCGTAGAAAGTACCACTTTTATCTTTATCTATTTTTGGATAACACAAAAGCACTGCCCGTAGTCATGACAAAAGGGGGTGGTTGCCTGCTGATGTGGTCCTTCTCGCGATGGGCGTAACAGCAGGACCAACATTCCGCAATACGATTGTCTTGTGAGAATGAAGACGAAGACGACACATGCGGTGGTGGGTAGGGGAGAGTCGTCCGCCTTAGAGCCACTCGTGGTGACTTTGTGGCGGACCACGTTAGCAGAGACATGGATCATCCCCGTGGTGACCGAGACCGCCTGCTAGGCATGGGCGTGCTCTCGGGCCTCACATTTCTCGTCCTCTGTCTCACGCCTCCGCTGCGCTTCCTCGTCGGCCTGGTTTCGAACTTCATCTTAGCTGGCATCATCGGCTTCCAGCTGGCAGAGCTCATGGACCGCAAGTACCGCAAAGAAGTCCGGCTCAAGCACCCCACCGTCTTCATCAGTGGTGAGATGTCGTGGCCCCGAGCTCTGATCGTGGGTTCCCTGTCTGTACATGAGTTAAATGGTGGGCTAATTGGTGCTTGGTAGTCAGTATTATTGTAAGTCATTAAAACGGCACAGCCCACTGCATGACCTGTTCCAATCATGAACCACTTTGCCATAGAGAAGAAACCTAACGCTCAAGTGAAAAAACTCACAAAACGTTACAGTGAGTGAGTGAGTGAGTGAGTTTGGTGAAACAACTTTATTTGGTCTACCATAGATACGAGTAAACTAAACATCACCTGGTTGGATCATTCGGGAACCATCAAGTTAAAACTGACGGCTATCACGCGTGGACCCTCTCGACAGATATGATATAGAAGGCTTGGGCTTAGGTCTTAAGGATCTTCACCATTTCATCTTGAGTGAAAGGGGGCTAGGTGAAGGCGCAGCCCCATAAGACCCGCTATACATTCCGCATAACCACCGCATACCAAGCGGTGAGGGCTTGGTACCATTCCGGGCATATTGTGAGTGCTGCCGTTAGAATACCGTGTGAACGACGCACTGAACGTACTGTACAACAAAGAAATGAAGTTTATTTCGACCTTAGTTCTGATAATCTCTATAGTTTTATTCTTTACCGTGGGTGTAGCGACGATTCACCTACCGGTCTCGATCAACCATGGGCAGATTGCGGAGCTTGCCGTTTGTCTGTTTCGCATGCCTGTGTATTTTGTACTTGACAATCAACTGCGGCGCTTGACCGGACACCACAAGCACTTCTTTGAATCGAATCATCGCGTCTTCTTAGTGCGCTTTCAAAGCCAAACTGGCAGTTGTACCAGCAGAATTAGTTCCTGAGATTTCGCAATGCAACCCCACAGGCTGCGACAGTGGTCTGGGTCTGCACACGGCCAGGCGCCTCCACGAGCACGGTTTCGAGGTTCACGCTGGCGTTCTGGACCCCGGTTCGGAGGGAGCGACCACTCTCAAAGGCATGCGGGTCCACGTGGTGCCCCTGGACTACATGGACGAGGACAGCATCGTCCAGGCCTACAAGACGGTCACCACTCAACTCGGTGACAAAGGTGCGTCCCTCAGGCGCGAATCATGATGCACTCCTTACAAATGTGTCAAATGCACATGGCGTAATTTCAAGGTACTACTTATCACCTTCTAAAAAATAGGGAAGTAATGCTTTTCTGTGTATTTCAGTCATTCATTGTAACCAGTATGTAATTAAGTATTCCAGTTTATCAGGCCTATGTGACCACCTTTAACTTTTGTGTAGTGCCACCGCTGCATACGCGCCAGCCGATTGACTGACAATCCTCCTTTTTGTTTTTCTCTCTCTCTTTTTCTCTTCTCTTTCCTCTCTCTGTCTCATCTTTATGCCCCCTTCCTATTCCTCCAGCGTAGGGTAGCAAACCGGGCATGTGCCTGGTTAACCTCCCTGCCTTCCCTCTTGTTGTTTATCCCCCCTCCCCAATTTGTCTGCAGTCAGTCACCAGGGCCGTGGTCAACGAGAGGGCTAAGGAGCCTCAACCTCCTTTCCCCCTCGCAAGATTTCAATTTTGCTTGCTAGGGCTATGAGTTGAAGCATGGTGCTTTGAAAGAAAAAACTGTCGAACGTATGCTTATAGCCCCTATCAGTCGGATTCAATTTTGACATTATTACATCTGATTTAGGCCCTGAAGCTTGGCAAGTCGACCGACCCGTCGAACATTGCAGTACTTTCACCAAGTGACTGGTTACAGTCGCACGCAGCAAGCTGAAATCAAAACACATTGACTAAAGTTAAATCAGTACACATTGACTGCGGAGAAGGCTCCGTTCTACCAATGAGCGATCTATCTTGCTCTCTAATTGCCAGAAGTTGGCACAGCTAAAGCACGAAAAAGTGCCGTACACAAACGCAGTCACCGCTGCTGAAGAGGATAAAACCAATGGGCATACGCCAACTGTACACGCACAGTCTGTCTTTAAAGTATCGAAACAGTGCCTTGTAAAAAAAATATTGATGTGCTCGGCACATATTGTTCAAATTCTTCAACATAGCTTCCTTGGGCATTGATACACCACCTCCAACGTGATTCGCCCACTCTAAATGTTTCTTGAAAATTGGCTGTCATGGCCTATATCAGTGGCTGTCGTAGCCCTTATCGGAGATCACATCGTAAAAACACTGAGCTTTAGTACTTTTTTAAAGAGAGGTGGGGGGGGGGGCATTGGGAAGAAATAAATCTGTCTGGATCACAAGAAAGCTGATTCAGACCGTAAGCCTCACTTGCTCGGCTGCGGTGTGGCTCGCGTGACTTTCATTATTAAAATAATAATTATTATATCGAATATCTTTTGTCCCAAAACTACCATGTGATTGTGAAAGACGCCGTGGGCGAGAGTCCCGAAAATTTCTACCATATTGTATTCTCTAACGTGCGCATACATAGCACAACACACGGCATATACCATTTTGCCTCCATTGAAATGCGACCGTCGCAGCCAGCATCGAACCCACGTACTTCCGCTCAGCAGCCGAAGTTCTTTTATCACAGTGCATTCCTCTATGAACGCAGTGCATTCAAGACCATGTGTACAGCCGTGGCACAAGATAAAATATGTTTATGTACACCAATGCACTTTGTCACAAAGACCGGAGTATATACGGGGTCACACCCGTCGACGCTAGCGTTGGACGTTCTGTCATCACAGCGCGCGTAACAAAGGGATCGCTTGGACCGCAGAGCTGTGGGGCATCGTGGCCAACGCGGGAGTGACCAACTACGGCGAGCTCGAGTGGATGTCGTACGACGAGCTGCGGTGGCTCGTCTCCGTCAACGTCACCGGCACCATTCGCTTCGTGAAGGAAGGCATCGCGCTGCTCAGAAAGAGCAAGGGACGCATCGTCATCATGTCCAGCGTCCACGGTAGGGCGCACAGGCTCTGGTTGGTTCGTTTCTTAATGGCGGATAGGGATGCCTGACATTGAATCGGTTAAAATGTATTGCACTTCGAGAAATGAAATGACGTTAACTTTCACTATTGTACGTCTATGATCACCAGAGAAAATTAAAGGGATAGTTTTAAATGGCTTTAAAGTTTTTAGTGACACCTCTTCGCCGGACGTCATGAATTTCACAGGGTGATTTTTTTGTATCTAGGCAATGTCGGTGGAACGACATTATCTTAAACTTAGCATTGATTCTTCTTGGTTACCCGGTGGTGGTGCAAAGATGCAGCAATGCCAACTGTCATGAGCAGTAAAATCATTAGCCCAGAGCCAGACAACGAAATAAACGTGGTGCAGTACGTGCTTAGCGTCCTGGCACGCCAGCGGCCGAAAGCGGTGCCCCCATGAGTCTGATGCTCCACCACGTCAGAGCACCCTAGTGTCCCGCTTTAATTGCCCTACCTCTTTGCCCTTTATGCCGGCACGTCAATTAGGTTCTTTCACTAATTCACAATTAAACTTAGCATGTCGAGCCTGTCGCCTTATCGCAGGAGAGCGTACTTCATTTTGAACGATTAGGAATGGCATATGTCTTTGCAGATGCGTAAAATTTTATGACGTCAAGGTGGTCGTAGCACGAATTGCATTTTGGCATCACTCCTCAGTTTTTTTTCTTTTTTCACGTTTTCTCGCTTACCGGTCTTCTAGCAGCAAACGTGGTGTTTTGGTATGCCGCAAAAAAAGTATAATTTACTAATACAAGAAACATTTTCAACACCGCAAAGTGGCTCAGGCTATTATTAGATGCACCGTAGTAGAAGTGTATGGGTTATTTCAACCGCATGGTGTAATTCAACGCCCTCTTATATTGCACAATACACGAACCACCAGCAATTTGCCTTCGTCTAAGTGAGACCACTACGAAACGAACGGGAAAAAAAGCCGTGTCTTTCGGGTCAGCAACCGAACACTGTAACGACCACGCCTAACGCGGTGTTTACAGCAGATCTAGTATAAAAACTGTGCCATGTATTACTTCCTCTGAGGTCTGAAAGATCACACTACGAGAGTGATCATGTGGGCGCTCGAGACACAATCGTCTGCCGTCTACGTTGCCATAACCGCGCTGCTTCACTCACCGAAACCTAGGCGGTATAAACTAGAGTAACATCTGTAGCTCAATGTCTCAAAATCACGACATGACATGATACACGCCGCAGGGGAGGGCTATAAAAATTTCCTTTTTCAACACGCACTGACGTGACACTGTAAGCGGGTCTCTACCATTTTGCCTCCGCCGAAATGTGATTACCACGACTGAAATCGAATCCGCAACGTTCTGCAGTCAGCAGTCATGCATCTTAACCGCTGAATCACCGCGACGGACCAACCTAGAGGGTACTCAGCAGCGTAATGCGGTGTACAGGGCCGGTAAAAACTTCACAGACCACTATTCAATGCAACGTGGCCTGGGAATTTTTCACCACCCGACACCTACAACGCTACACGTTATATATACGTAGGCTACTTACCAGGGTGAGTTGACTGGCTTCAAGAAAAGAGTAAAATGCCTGCCTTGCGCTGCTCGCATGAAAGTTGGTGCACGCAAACTACAAGCCCGTAGTCGTCTACGCACACGGGATGTATCAGACCATAATTTTTCGGATCATACTCTGAACCGGTGCCATGGTTGCTAGATTATAAGGAATCGCTTAGACCAAGATATTAAAGCACGCGTTTACTGCCTGATTTTTACGAATTCGTGGGTCGCCCAAGAGAGCAGTTCCAGACTAGGATGCTGAGCGCACCAATGCTTAGCAAGCTTCGCGACCAGTTTAGCTTCTTTTGTTAAGATAACTCACAGTGCGCAAACAGCCAAGTTGGCTCGAGAACTCACGCAAGCACATGTGATAAGCCCTATATGCTTGGTGCCGCGGGTATGAATTTCGACGCCCTTCACCGCAGATCAGTTTTATGTATATATCACGGTGACTGCTGCCTTCATCAACGTCCCAACCACGTGACAGTATGACAGTTTCTTGTATCTAGGCTGTAACTTCTATATCTTGTATACTTGCTCGACGTTATAGAATATAATAACCGCGCAACAGACAATGGCTGCCGAAGATAACACACACAGCACAGTGTGTGCCATCTTCAATCTTTGTCTGCTGCGCTCTTCTTATATTCAGTTATTTCTTACCAACTTGCCCAACTTTCCACGCTTGATATATTTTTGACATTCTTTATTGTGTACACTGTAAAGTTTAATGAAAGGGAACACGCGAGCGCGTGGCCCGGTCTCTGCTGCGGCTGCCTACAGCACCATCAACCGACAGCCAAGGAAACCACGTCGGATTTTGGTGTCATTAATTGCATAACAAAATAACGACTCATGGAGGTTGTACAAGCTCTGCTGGATAACACACTGCTGCTCTATTTGATAATGGTTTATTTAGCTCTTGGTTGATGGTCGTGTAGGCAGCCGCCGCACAGCGCAAGCCACGTGCTCGCGTGTTCCCGTTCACAAAAAGTGGCAGTGTACCTCGCATTGCAGATATATCTGCCTCTGTGATTTTACCATGTATTTCGCGCACTTTCTGGTGCAGGCCACATGTCCATACCCGGGTCCGTTGGGGCGTCGGCGGCGGCCGCGGCCCTCTGTTCGCTCGCCGACGGCCTGCGGCGTGAACTACACAAGTGGCAGGTGAACGTGTCCACAGTGGAGCCCATGCTGTATAAGTGAGAACCGACCCCTTCTTGTAATATTTCTCAGGATATCTTGGAAGAAACTATTTTTATTCACAGTAAAAAGTTACGTATATATGCTTTTTCTAGTAAAAGAACGCAGATGCAGAATATGTACGTGTTGTTATGGTGCCCCAGACACGCGCAATAATTGCTTTTTAATTGACAATTGCACAAGCATGAACGCTACACTTTGAGCAACATTGGTGGGCGCTGTGGATTGGGTCAGCCGTTTCAGGTACCTGGTGCCCTTTTGAGTGGACATACAGACAAATATACAGACAGACAGACAGACAGACAGACAGACAGACAGACAGACAGACAGACAGACAGACAGACAGACAGACAGACAGACAGACAGACAGACAGACCAAGATTTTTGCGTCGAAGGTCCCCAAGAAATACTATCATCTTAAAAAAATTACACCATCTCTCACTAAAGGGCACCATGAGTAGCATGTGAAGCAGCGCATGGGTCGACTTCCGTTCACCAGGGGCACCTTGCCCGATGTTAACGCGTCCCAGCAAGTGGAGCACACCATGAGTTCGATGAGTTAGTTTCTGTTGCTGTCACTCGTCCCGAACACTTGTTGGAGCACGCCACGTGGGTTCACCACCACGCGACGCGGGAACACGTGGTTTGATTGTACGTCTGCAGAATCCCGTTCCCCGACGCCATCACATGGTTGCTCAGAGAGTGTTAGGGGGAGAAGCCACAGCGTCTTACCAGCGCCTTACACAGGCCGGAACTCGCTAGCACGTGAACGCATTCCGGCAGTGCTTGGGACCGCTGTTGCACGTGCGCAGCACGAGTGGTTACGCTTTGAGCTTTGCCGTAAGCTGCTTAACTGGCATTAAGCTGTTAACTGGCATTAACCTAGAAGAAGGAGACTCTGGCACGTGTAATCGAACGTCCGATCTCTCGCTCCTGAGTGTGTAGCGTTAACCACTGAGCCACGAAAGACTTGCTCCAACAGCAAGGATCTCCGAAGAATTAGAGTGTTTTCAGCATCACCTGCAAGATGGCGCAATGAGTGAACCCGGAGCCCAGCTCGTCGCCATGCGCGGGCGCGCGCTCATCTCCAACGCGTACTTTGCCCCATGGAGGAGTGGGTGCGTAGACCCCCGTGCGCGCGTGCCCATCCGGCAGCGCCGGAGAATCGTGCGCCTTCGGCTTTCGCTGGAACGATTGCGCTGTGGTTGCCGGGTGCACAAAGGTCACTACGCTCCTGTTTGCGCAAAGAGCATGCTTTTCTACATAGCGAAGTAACAACTGGGACAACTCTTAGTTTGCACTCATCTGTACCTCTGATTACGTTTCGTGCGTCGTGTTTGTATAAACAGCACATAAAGTGTCGAGCTGTAAACGTTGTTAGTTCACTCTCGGCGTGTGTGTCTGAGTTGTTTTCATGCGTCATTTGTGCTTGAGTAGCGTGCTGCCCGTTGCGATCTGCTTGTCGTTCTCAGCGTTACACTCCAAGTTGTTTCTATCGCATTCCTTGTTTCGCCCTTGCGGTGAAACTAACTTTTTTTAACACTGTTTCTTGAAACATATCTGACTGATGGTGTATATAGGGAGATTGGAGCAGTAAAGAATAAACAATTCGCTATGGGGAACATTTGCACGTACTGCATGTTCCACTCCTCCCCAAGGGATGTGAGCTGAAATCTTCATGCCGACAATATTTAAAAATCTTTCTTTAGAGTGTGTCAGCCAAGAAGAAAGTGTCTTTGTTGTTGTAACACCAACTCCACAGGTCAGTAAATACGAGCTTCGCTTCAAAAAAATGTTCGATAGTTTAAGGGAACCGTGTTCTGAGAAAGCTTTCCTTCGCTCAGGGGACGTTTCGGAATCTTTTACAACCGACATCATAACTTGAAAATGAAGTGATTTAAGATGTTCTGTTATTATCTAAACAGCACCAGGGCTAATGGCACTCAAAACGTATCTTGTTACAAATCGAGAACAGCGATTATAAAACATTTATTTTTACTTTTAAGTTTCACGGTGAAGTCATGCTCATTCAATTTGTGCAGTGATTCAAAACCGTAAAAGCTCATTTTAATCGTCTTTTTTCAGATTTACGGACGCTGTCATGGTAAACAGAACATTGAGAATGCTATTGCTTGTAGCACTCGCTGCAATCGTGGTGACATTTTAACAAGGTGAGCAAAGTGGTTTGCTTTATATTTGAAGCACACACGATAAAACAACGGTAATGCTCGTAGCTTGAGTAAACCTGGTGTTATTATCCGAGTACATGGAGATTAAACGACCGTTAGCTCTCATTTAGTAGCTCAATCAATTTCGTGCATATAAAACTAAGTTATATAAATCTTGAAAGGGTGTTGTCAAATTACATTATGAGCATAAAGTCACATAACTTTCAAATTCTGTCACTTAAAGGCGTGATATTTTGGTATGACTCCGAGGGTAAGGCAGATAGATTTTAGTGGACTGTCGTTGAACTTTGGTGAAATAATATGATACATGTAATTTTCTTTTAGAAGGTAATATTGTTCCTATGCAAGGGAGAAAAAAATGTTTCGCGAGTAATTTTTTCTCTCTTTTGGTCAATGTAATTATTTTTTGAAAATTGTGCAAATAAGTTGCAATGTATGTGTCGCCAGGACAAGGGTTGCGAAGATCGTATTGCAAAAATTTTGGCAGAATTGTGACTTGCATTGAAGCTTCGTAATACTATGAACACTGCTTAAGATGATGTTAAAAGTGTCACCGTTATGAGGCACAGTACTTGAGGTCAATTTTATGTTTTGAGAGAAAACATTGCTCCGACGCCTCACCCTTCTCTTATACTGATTACTAATTGAACACCGTTTCTGTCTATGTGATTATTGAGTGACTTGTCAGATGTTAAGAAAGGCAGTATGGGTTCTTCACAGATAAAATTATAGCGTTATCAATGTATGCAAAACCTCAAGACGGTCTTTAAAATTGCGTTGCGAACAAATAATGCTAAAAAAGACTAAAATTCTTGAGCAGTGGGTGTCGTCGGAACCTACGTTTCAAAAAATCGTGTATTCTTCCTTAAATAACGAGTAGTCAACAAGAGGTGAACAAAGCATTAGGTGGTTTTGTCCTTTTTTATGCTTCTTCAAACCTTGCCTTCTTCAAGGTTCTTTTCGCAATCATGGCACCAGCCCCAATGAAGGCGATGACTTGAAGAGTCTTGAAGAAGGCAGGATATTTTGTTGTTTCGTCGACCGCAAGTTGCTACTAAGCCACCACTACATTTCTTTCTTGAAAAAGACAGAAACACTTGCCGAAACTTCGCCTTCAGCAAAATCTCCCGTTCAATAATTTTTCATCAATCCAAGCCTCCAAAGCTTTCCCTTAACTTCGGCCTTGTTTCAATAAAAGGTAAAATACTTTCCATGTGCTGCCTACTGCAGGCGCCCCTGCCGTCAAGTTTGTCGACAACGTACCAATCAGCATCAAGCTTCCAGACAGTAATGAACTCGTAAAGACGGATGTTCCCAGTCAATCCACAATACAAGAGGTGAGTCCTTTTCACAGCGTGTCTGCATACCGCTCGAAAAAGGAACATTTTGTTCACTGGAATTAAATAGCACAGGTTCCACATACAATACTGCTCGGAGGTCGGAAAATGGGGTGGCCTTTGAGTGTGCCGAAATCGCAATAAAGAAGGATTGCCAGCTCTCACAAGCTCGAAGGGTTCCCTTGTTCGCACAAGTGTGCCTTTGGTGTTGTGAGCAGACATAGCCAGGGATCATACTCGACGCACCATGCATCGTTCACCGTAAAATCCTTGGGGCGTTCTTAACATTATTAACTCGCGAAACGCCAAGTTGGAAGCGCGCATATCATAAATGTGGTCATAAATCAAAAGCTGCATCAGAGGACGCTTCGATTACTTTCAGTTCATGATAAACACCGGTGCCACAAGTTTCAGGTTAGTTGGTTAATCGTCTCCGGGAAGATCATGGTAGATAAGTTAATAAGCGGAACTCCTCTTAGTCCAACCTTGTTCCACGTCAGGCGCGATCAGCAGTATCTCCTGAACAACATAACAGATGGCACTGTTTTTCGGCAGGCACCGCAGGCGCCAAATATATAAGGATTGGCTAGACACATTATTTTAATTCGAAAAACTTGTGGCAGCTTCGTTTGTGCTTGATGGATATGTGTGGTTTAACGTCCCAAAACTACAATATGATTGCGAAAGACGCCGAAGTGGAATTCTCCGGGAATTTCGACCACCTGGGGTTCTTTAACGGGTACTCAAATCTAAGCACATTAGCGTACAGCATTTTCGCCTTCATCCAAAATGCAGCCGCCGAAGCCGGGATTCCATCCCGTAACATAGCTTTGTATGTGCTTGAACACGTGGGCATTTCGCATTCGTCTTTGTATGTGCACTTATGGTGCTTGAGTTAATTTGAAGGTTCAACATATGGTAACTTTTTGTTGTTTTTTGTTTCGCGCCGTGTCTCAAGTCACAAGAAGGGGTGACAGAAACTGTAAGTACCAAGCGAGCATTACAAGAACCCGTTGTCTTATGTCTGCTCTTTGAAGGAAACCATTTGGAATTTGAAGGGCGTAGACAAAAGACGTGAGCTTAAATCGTCGCTGTAAGACTCGCACAGAAGTTAGAATATACGTCTATAAACATCTCCATTCTTTTTTATCTTTTTAGAAAACATTTGTGCTTCCCTTACGTCTTCGATATGATTTTTTTTTCAACTTAAAGATAGATCACAGCTTACACTACTACCCTAGCAAAAAAAATCAAGCTTGACAGTGTACGCACTATAGAGAAAGCAAGCGATTCCTTCACTAGTAAAAATAACAACTATTATTGAGGCAATCCTGCAGCTTGAAAGGGAACCTGTTTGTAATTCAACCTAAACAACTCAGCCTCCACGTGCAAGAGATATTAAATTATCTTTCGAATCTGCTACGACATGACATACGCCATAAAGTGCTTTATGTTCAGTAAAATGTTTGCGAGGGTTAACCGTAAAAAATAAATATTCGATACATGTATCCTAACCAACATTTAATGAAAAGGTAAAGGGTGAAACGGAGGCCTATGCAGCTAATTGTCTCAACACACGAGGTCATCTTTATGCTAAGAAAGAATTGACATGCTCTTTCAATATGCAATATTTCCTAAGTACCTTTTTTTTTTTCGCATGTTAAGGAAGACGGCTTGGTTGCTCCAGCTGAGGCCTTTACACTGGTGAGTCATTCTAAACAGGGCTCTCAAGGCATATATGTCTCAAAATGAAACTATTTCAGTCGAAAGCGTGCTTCTGGTATAGAACTGTAGTGACGCGTACGTATGACATAGTGGTAATCAATTGCAGTCACAGTGTGAACATTGAAGGTGCCCCGATGTTTTCATAGTGATTTAATATATTGCGAGTTGGGTGAGATGGGAGATCACCGAAGCCTTTAGTCAGAGCACATCAATATGCTCACAAGCTCAGGATAAGCACAATTTGTTTACATTGGCTAGATTCGTTCGCATATATCACGCCGCACGAACAGGTTCCTACCAGGAATAAAGCAGCCAAAATTTCAAACACAGTTGGCGTTGAACAAACAAGAATCAGCGCTCAGAATCGGCAATAGGCTGTGCCGTGATCCGCCGTTAATTTTTGACCTCTTCATAAACTGCCAATCAATTACTGATCAGATGCAATTTCTTTCGTGAAGCTTCTCATGGAGTCACGCTGTATTGAAGAAAAACCCTAATGCAATCACTTTATATTTAACCTCGTATATAATTCATTCTAAAAATTGTTATGGTTAAGTGTCCGAATTCTATGGCTAAATTTCGGCTAAAACGACCCATATACGATATCTGAAAGGCCGCCTTTCAAATGGCAACGTTAACTGACACAAACTAACCTTCTCTGCCCCCCCCCCCCCCCTTAATTCTGAGATGGCATTTTGCTAGCTGAAGTGAGTTTGAGGCCCCGATCACAGACGCCAATATTTCTAAACTCGTTTCAGGGATATTATAAGATGGCTGAGTAGCGATTTTATGGATAGTCCGCTGGATTTTTCTTGACAGTATTACCTTTTTTTCGGTTGCCGACTGCTGATGTTTTACCGGAATTCCTTTCGGATCTAGTGTGCCAGACGGGAGCTGGGAAGGCTGCAGAGCGAGTTGAAGCCGAGTGTCCAGGAACCGGAGGAGTCATCTGAAGAAGAATAACCTGTCGAAGATGACCTGCCACCTCCTCCAAAGAAAGAGGCTGCCAAGCCTGTAGAACCTGAGACGAAGAAAGAAGCACCTGTTCCTCCAGCAGAATCTAAGCCGCCCATTCCACAGGCTCCCACGATTCCGGATCTCAGCAGCATCACGGACGCTTTCACCAAAGTCAGGGCCATTGACAAGCACCCAACCGTTCTTGTTGAAGTCGTGAAGATTCTGCAGGTAAGCTGGAAAACATTTATGTGCACTCATAAAAGTACACTAGCTACAAGTATCGTTGTCTTTGTTCAAAGAAAATTGTTTTAAGTCTAGGTTTTCCGTTTTTGAACCAGTCCTGATCACCTAGTACCTTTCTTTGCAATGTTGCTGAGCTTCACGGTTAGATTTATTTTCATAGCTACTGCAGGGTAAATGCACCACAATTGTCATTTCATCATTGTCACCACTTTCATGGAAGCTAAATGCACCGCGATTGTTCAATGAGCATGATAAGTAAAAAGAAGGGGGGGGGGACAATCAATTACTTGGCAATCCTTAAAAGCTTGTCTAGAAATAACGTGGTTGCTTAGGCATATAAATCTAAAGGAACCGAATTCGCAAACCGTTTCTTTTGTAATTGCGTTTTCCCATGTATAGCCGGCCTCACAAATAATAATTCCTACATCGTGATTGGCTAAAACAGTCCCTAAGGAAAGTTTTTGTGTGAAGCGTTTCTGTGAACACGGAGCCAAAATCGTTTTGGTTTCAAGAAAGTTTGCTGAATTCATATGAGTTATTTAACGCTTTAAGACAGAGAAAGATCGAATTTAATGATGGTAGGAAGGTTAACTAGACTATAAATCCAGTTTGTTACCTTACACATGGGGAGCGGAATGAGGGAGTAAAAGCAAGACAAAAACAATGAGGCAAGTAAAGTCCCAATTAGGAGCACACGAAAACAGTGCAGCGTTGCACATGCGGTCACTCAATACTAGTGTCTTCAAACACTGCAAAAGGACTCGGGCGGTGTTTAAGCTGCGGTGCTGTGAGACCAGGCTCCCAAGATCTCTCTAGATGTAAAAGGCCGATCATTTGGTCTCATCATGACACGCCGGGGAGCCCAGTGAGCTAGCGATCTCGTTCAAATAGAGGACAATGGCACAAGAAATAACTAATGGTTTCTGCACAGTTGCAGTATTTCGCGCTTTGAAGCTTGCGAGCAAGGCCACACCCAATATGGCAACAAATGTCTTTCGGGCACAGACCCTTCACTGGAGGCCGTGGCTGCCGGGACAGCAGTGTGCTTTTCTCACAAGGGAGAAAAATAGTGTTTTGGGGCACCGTAGCTGGCTCAGAGGTCACCACCAAAACTCAAAATAATCAAGTAGGCTCTCACTGGGGTTCATACATTCAGCATTCATTCTTAATTTTGTGTTCTTTTGGTATACTACAAGTGCACAACACTGATTAGAACCATTGTCACTGTTTATGGGTCTAAAATTTGCAGCTTGTCTTCATTTTCCATCACATTTTGTGTTACTTAAAAAAAAAGTCAAAAGTTCCGAGGATGATGGAAGTTTTCGCGAACACAGGGTGCAGGGGGAGGAGACGTTTCGGCAAGTGGCCCTGTTTTCTTCGAGGCAGCAAGTTTCAGTCCTGTCAGAGGTCTGTTGCAGTTTACCCTGTTGTTTTAGCTAGTCCAAGTTGCAGCCCTGACGAGGCCAAGTCGCCTTGTTAAAACCTTGAGCCAAGCGACACCTCATGTTCAAAACCTTTCACGGCATGGGGACCCGCAACTCATGCGTTCTACGTGTCTTGTGAAATCACGCAGGTGATCTTCGACTTTAGGCGCGTGATGAGCGACATGCAACAAATCCTGCACGGAGACCTGGCCGGAGTTTTGCGGGAGTACCCGGAAAGAGCCCGAGGTCTGTTCCATATGGTTCGCACTCTGCCCAGCAGGTTCGCCAACGCACGTGACAAGGTCGAAGAGGTCAAGGAGGAGAGGTCAGTGTAAACCAACCACACACATCGGTTGTCAGTCTCGTGTTTTCATTGGCTCACTTAGCTGTAGTGACTAACGACGGCGATAACTCTTTGGGACCGCCAGCCATTCTCGAGACAAACTGTCCTTGAATTGGAGGATCATAAGCTGTTTCGTTCTTATAACGGTGGTTCTAGCTTTCCTGCAGTGAAGTCCGCCCAACTAATTATATCTGGTATGGGGAGCATCAAACCCCGATAAAAAGTAATGAGAGGTAGTCACTTCTCTGAAAAATGTACTCAGGTACACTTTACTTGAGCTATGAAGCAGCAAATATCAACTCAGATTTCCTTATATTGACTTGGAAGTTCATTGGTTCTTTCGTGGCCTAGTCGGTACATGTGAGAATATAAACTAGGTAAAATCACCGCAAAGAAACGAATACGTAGACGCCATTCTAATTCGTTTGGGTATCTACAATTATCACTTTTCTTTGCACTGCAGATACTGAGTACCCTCTTTTCTGTTGAGCACCTGATTTCCGTTTTATGCACCACAGGTACTGCAGTTAGTTTGCTGAATATTCAGTGAAGTGTGATTGTGTGAATTACCTAGAAATTGGCTAATGGCGTTGAGCATCTTAAAGAACAACATAGGACACTTTACTCGAAAAATATTGCCCTTTGATTCGAAAGCCATTGCCGAATGCCAAACTAAGAGCTACTTGTTAAAGGTTTCAATCCTTTCTTTATTCTAGCCTTCCCTCGTATAATAAATACAAATCTGCCCTTTCCACACTCTAAAAATCAAATTTATAATTTATATTTTGTGTAATCAACACCATGGTCTGTCCCACTACATCCACTGCAGGGCTAAGGTCAATCCCACGTTTCGTTAGTGAACCCAGTCCTGTGCTTGCTCAGGCGACGTTATCCTCGCAATCCCCTTAGTATCATCAGTTGAATAATCTGTATAAGACGGCGAGTTCCAGTATCACCGTTAAGATTCACTCAATATTGAAATAATTAAGACTTCGATGGTGGGCTTCTATGGTGGCTCGTCTTTTCGTCAACATCATCTTCCCCCATCAAATTTTCTGTCTCTTTGAAACAAGCGAGCCTTTTTTTTTAGATTTAATTTTGTTACTCTTGATGGCCTACGTGCTAAACATGGGCATGGCTGAGCGCAACGTGACCAAACCATGCGCACGTTTTCTTCTTCACGTCTACTAAGATGTTTTTTAACCCATTTCTGCCGTGACCTGCGACCCTCTTCTTTTTCTTAACGTTTGTACCATGATTCTTCTTCCCATGGTTGTGTGTAATAGCTCGTGCGACTCACACCGCTACTGTCACGTGGCCTCTTATGTCTACGCAGCCAGGAGCCCGAATACATGCAGACACTCAACGAGCTGCAGAGCTACCTGACATCTGCAGGCGCATCGGCGGAAGAACTACCCAACGCACTTTCCCTCGTTAGCACACTCGATGCACTCAGAAGTATCGCCGGACGCCTTCAGAACCACCTGACAGAGAAACTGACTGGTCGCAAGAGGGCTGCTGAATCTATCTCGGGTAAGACAGACAGACAGACAGACAGACAGACATATAGACAGACAGACATATAGACAGACAGACAGACAGACAGACAGAAATATTGATATATAGATAGATAGATAGATAGATAGATAGATAGATAGATAGATAGATAGATAGATAGATAGATAGATAGATAGATAGATAGATAGATAGATAGATAGATAGATAGATAGATAGATAGATAGATAGATAGATAGATAGATAGATAGATAGATAGATAGATAGATAGATAGATAGATAGATAGATAGATAGATAGATAGATAGATAGATAGATAGATAGATAGATAGATAGATAGATAGATAGATAGATAGATAGATAGATAGATAGATAGATAGATAGATAGATAGATAGATAGATAGATAGATAGATAGATAGATAGATAGATAGATAGATAGATAGATAGATAGATAGATAGATAGATAGATAGATAGATAGATAGATAGATAGATAGATAGATAGATTGTGAAGTTTGTTTGCTTTATGACATTTAAGGACATGTTTTCTGCACCAAGATAAATTTTAAACGAAAATTGAATGCTACTAAACCTATATTCCAACTTGATTACAAACATTACCAGGAAATAGAGGTGCGATTAGCAGCTTGAGGTAAAACTGGCCACCTCTCACAGATGGCAGCTTCATAGCCAGTAATAAAATGGGCTAACGCATTCGAGTATAGTACACAGAAGCAGTTACAGTTACAGGAACAAGTATAACTACAAACGTCTTGCTAGAAACCGAGCGAACGTTTTGCGTTCGATAAAACACTAGGCTCATGGCTATCTAAAACAAATCGCAAAGCAATGAAGGCACTTCAACGTTTTTTTTTTCTTGGAAAAACGAAGATTTGTGACCACTACTGAACGGGCTATATAGTTACAAGTGAGCGTGGCGCCTACGTGTTTGTTCTGCCCGTATGAGAACTTTTGTACTCACCTATGCAGGAATGTATATGTATACATGCTAATTCGTTTTTCACTCTATTTAAAACAATCAAGTGGAAAGGGGTAGAATCACAAAGTAACGGCGACAACTCCTTCGTTTATTTTGTATTTCAATAAAAAATCTTACTCAGGCGTTTGAAGTCCGAAACATAAGGTGTATGCATGCTTTAAAAGCATTTTAAATATTCTTTTAAATATAGATTTCTTCAGACCGGTTGCTTACAGCTCTGCCACATCTCAACGCCGTGCTAGTGCTTTTTAGTGATACGTGCTCATTTCAGTGAGTAACCCCTCCCCCACTCTGCCGTAGCTGAGCCTAGTGCTTGTCATTTTATCTCCGCGCAGAACAACCGAGATCATCAAGGGTCGTCGATGAGATCAAGGACATATTCACGATCATTCCCGACACGTTCCGTGCCTACGGCCGGCGCAGCAAACTGAACGGCGGCCCGGGCATCTTCAGCCCGTCGCCCGTGAGTCCACTGAGCCCGTGGAACCCCCTGAACCCATTGTCGCCCATCAGCCCCGTGTCGGCCGTCTCCAGGCTGACACCCGGTGACCCGTTGCGCCCCATATCTAGGGCCCAAGTGAGGGCCGTGGACACCGTGTCGAAGCGACTCGTCGACCTCTTCAACGCCCGCACAGGCAGCAAGAAATCCTCCTGCCTCTCGGGAATTTGCAACTTACAAGCGTGAACTCGAAAGAAGAGGAGTCCTAAATCACAGGATGCTATTACGTCACTATAGTTCGCACGATCATAATTGAGTATATCCTATAGTATCGGACGGGGACTAGGGCACGGAAACAAAGGCAGGAGCTCAACCAGGAGTCTGATCCTGGGCATTGTCCAACTCTGCCATTAGTCGACTCTGACTGATCCAGAGGGGTGCCTCTCTGATTTGCTTAGAATGCCACCATTAGTGACCATGAAAGTACTGTAAAATTTGACGCTGTCATTAATAACACCCTATGTGCACGTATGGTTGGTGATCCCACTTTGAGGGAAATCGATTAAGGACGCAGGACACAGCGTTACCAAAAGCTTCGGTAAACTGGCAATAAGAACTTCCAGCAAAAAAAGCTTTGCGATTTTAAAACCATCATGTTCTGATCCTGTAGCCATGTGCTTAGGGGGCTGAACAAGATGTTGTGCCTTAACTGCGATTCCCAATGTACCAATGTGTGCTACGCTGAGAGTGACGGATCACCATTTTCTATTCAGGCAGGGTTACATCAATACGCAGCCTATTGCAATGTTTTTGGTATGGTAAATGGAGTAATTAGTTGTTGGCAGTTGGAGAAATTTCACGCTAACGCCACAATTGTGATTCCTTTGAGTTCTTCTGAAATGATGTTTGACTGGGTAATTTTTCGTTATCTACACTTTATTGCTACGATTTGTAAAGTTCGTGTTCCTGATAAGGGCAGAAAATTAAAATTTATATGAAATAGTTATTCAAACACTCATTTTGTCAGACGAGAGAAAGCTCTATTTGGAGAAATTTTTTTAAGTGCACTACCGATTTGATACCTTCGCGAGCCTTCAGATTTCCAGGCAAAAAAGTAATTTTGCGTCTCAAGCTTCCTTTCTGAAGAGGAATCAACGCCTGTAGACATGAAAATGAGGAAAGCATGGAATAAATTAGCGTGGAGTTTCTTTAGAACTGCTTCGTTCAGTTCGCTGAGAAAGTAAATTTGGTACAGCTACAGGGCATTGCTCAATATTTTGTTGATCAAAGCGTGATGCCATGTACCATTCAATTCTTTACCGAAGGCATAAGAAACTTCTCTGTAGTTACCAAAGCGGCTAATAAACGATGTCACGTTGATTTGTGTAAATACCATCATCTTCCACTGATCTCGTGAAATGTAAGTACTTGCAAAAACATGTCGCCGATGCGTTTGACAAGTGTTAACGACCATATAGGTGTTTGCGAAGTGCAAAATGTTGTTAAGCCCGTACACTAGCCTGCTTAATACCGACACATTACCGCACGGTCAATAGCAGTTTGCTTCATGGCCCAGAGCTGCATAAGAAAGTACTCAGCTACCCAGAAAAGGTACCGAAAGCGGCATATAAGTACCAGTGTATATGTTGGTATTTCACATTCAAAAACAATATATCTCCCACTATATAGAACCATGCAAGGATGTGAAGCAGTGCTTGGTGTTCACTTACGTTTCCATTGTTGTTCCATTTGTATGCTTCCATGTACGTGAGGAGTTGTGTGCGGAGTTGTGTATAAGTTGTGCACCACTTAAGTTACCACCCCCCCCCCCTTAATTATGTGTGTGTTAGCAGGTGTGTATTCATAGCACCACAAAGTGAACACCAAACGCCCAGTGCTCTTTCGCATCCCCACAAGTTTTTTTTAGTGGGAGATGGTGTACTTACTATGTTGTTATAAGAATCAAAATAAAGTGGCCTCAATGGGAGCGAGCACGTGGCGCATTATATACGAGCGCACAATTGGGACGGAGAGACAGATATGAAGTGAAGGCAGCCCTCACGGTACGTTCTCAAGAAGAGGAGAGGGGGAGAGTTGGCGCATGCTCATAAGGGAAGGACGAATACAGTCTCTTACGAAAGCTGCTTCGCACCTAAGAGCAGTTTGATTACGAGGGACGTCATAGAGGCGCGCTCCGGAAATTAAAATTACACGGTGTTCTTTAACGTGCACCCAAATTTAGGTAAACAGGCCTCAAGCACCCCGTCTAAATTCAGACAACCCGGTATTCAATCCACTGACCTTAAGGTAAGCATCCCAACGCCTTAACCACTTGTCTACCATGACGAATAAACATGTATTACACAAGCGGTGCTTTTGTTCCGAGATACTGCCCCAGGTACGTGGTTGATTTCATTTGCCGTGTTATGTAAACAACAAAACATGGTGGTTTTAATCACTACTTTTGATGGAAAGCTCCATGTTGCATTACGATATAAAAAACCGTTCACCACGAGAGACTTGACGGTCTCAATTGGCTGTGTCGTCTTTTACGTCGTTCACTAGGCCGTACCCAAGCGCGCGAACCATTAGGAGAGTCGTTAGTCATACACTTCTCAGAATCGTACGCAAGCACGCGTGCGATTGGCTGCGTTCTTTTTATTTTCTTTATTTTTTTATTTTTTAACACTGCAGACAAAACGTCCAAGCAGGGTGAGGAAACACATTGATTGATTGATATGTGGGGTTTAACGTCCCAAAACCACTATATGATTATGAGAGACGCCGTAGTGGAGGGCTCCAGAAATTTAGACCACCTGGGGTTCTTTAACGTGCACCCAAATCTGAGCACACGGGCCTACAACATTTCCGCCTCTACCGGAAATGCAGCCGCCGCAGCCGGGATTCGAACCCGCGCCCTGCGGGTCAGCAGCCGAGTACCTTAGCCACTAGACCACCGCGGCGGAGCGTGAGCAAACACAAAACAATAACAGAAAACAAGGTTTGAAATTGTTTTTACGAAATGTTTTTGGTTGTAAAAAAAACACAACCTGGTCACGATACAATTTTAAGGGAGTAATAAAAGAACAACAGTATTTGCACAAATGGTTCACGGGCGTTGGGGAATGCTTTCGTTAGTTTATTCCAATCAGTTATAGTTTGTCGGAAAAAGGAGTAGCGAAAACTGTCAGTCCTTGTGAATGTTGGTCTTAGGGAATGAGGATAGTGGTGCTGATTGGATCTGCTTATCAGTGACGTCGTTCACATTTTCGCAATCATGCTGCCGAACCCGCGTGCAGCAGTTTGATTGATAAGTGGGGTTTAACGTCCCAAAACCACCCCATGATTATGAGAGACACCGTAGTGGAGGGCGCCGGAAATTTCGACCACCCGGGGTTCTTTAACGTGCGTGCAGCAGTTTCAATTTACAACTTCCACAAGGAGAAGGGCACAGATCGTTCGAACGCCCGAGCTGCAGACAATTTTCTAAGAACAGCGCCGACAACTGATCCGAGAAAGAATTCATGTTCGCCGGGCCGATGCAGTGGTTCACGTGCAAAAAAAGACCCGGCTGTTGAAACGCAAGCAGCAACTGCAAAGCGGGAATCCGGCAGCCTTCCGAGCTGCATGTAAGTGACAGCGGCGAGCTGAGGAAGTGACGTTGTGGGCAGAGCAGCGTCCACATGGCAATGGCGCAAACTCGCTCGCTGGGGCCAACGCCCGCTTTCGGCGGGAGGTTCTCGAGTGGCGCTTTTGGATCAGCTGCAACACCTGTAACCACCTGTGACCGCATGCTTCAGCTTCGTTGATTAATCATTTGTACAGAGTGCTTGGGCGGTGATTTTTTTCAAGTGATAACGAAAACACATTGTGTTAAACTGTAGTACCATTATTTTGAGTTGTTAGGATCGGGTAATTAAAGTTCACTCGCACAATCACTTGGAAGGGTACCGTTACCCGCTTTTGAAGGTATGTTTACCCTGTCACACAAATCTGAATACAGACCAAACTCTGCTCAGCCAGCGTGAAGGCCAGCAAATGCTGACAAAGTATGTTATCTTTATATTAAAGTCTTTCATTTCATCACGTGCCTATGGGCATCGAAACAAGCTGCAAGTCAGGCTATAATACTGATTCTGATTGCTCCACGTAGCTGTCTGGCTAGTTATGGTTACATCGGGGACTAAAACTACCAACACGGCCCCTTGTGAGTCGCTAAGATATTCAAAATGGCCACTTGTGCGTCACCAAAAGAAATGTCACGGTATATTGAGCGAGCGTGGGACGAGCAAAGCGTACGATGTTGCTACGTCAGGTACAGCAGGAACCAAAACTATCTCTTAAGAAGATACAGTGCTTACTCATTCAGAAGGGACTAATTCTTACCAATACTTTTTCCGGTGTGTTAAAGGATTTTCATTTCATTCAAAACACTCGTGTGAGTACTGCTTTAACACTTGCCTTTTTTATTTTTACTAAATGGCTCCTGTTCGTTTCCTTTCAACACGACAGTGTTTTATGCTGGGGTCCAAGATTTCAGTCAAGTACTTCAATCACGGAAATTCCAGCTAAAGAAAACATGAACAGAAAAGAAACAAAAGAGAAAAGAAAATGGCAGTTGAACCCATTACCTATTGGTCATTGAAAAATGTCGGGCACGCCATGCATTGCGCCTTGGTCAAATGCTTTGTAGGCTTAAAAACACGCCTCTTAAAGCGAAGCAATGCCTTGCATACTGAAAGCACTTTGTCGTCTATCTACGCACAAGGGATAATTGGTATTATTAACTGTATTATTAATATTTCTGTTGCTTTCTACAATGCATCTTAAGTTATTTTCGCAAAAATGTATTTGCAAACATATTTACGAAATTTATGGCAACCTAACACTATTGGCGCAAAGCTTGTAGGAAGAGCGCAGCTGGTGGGCCCTCCTTGCTTCTCTTCTTTTTTTTCTCTTTTTTGTATAATTTTTGTGTCTTTCTTTCATCTAGTTTATTTCTTTCTCAATATATTTCTTTCTCGATCTTTCTATCGCCCTCTTTTGTTCACGAACAAAAAAAAGTTAGGAGGATCTTGACGTCATGCAGTCAGCCTCGGCAAGACAAGCCTTTTGAAGCCCGCAATGTCGGCCTAACACAAACCTTCTGCGTGACGACAACCACAGTAGCCAGGCTTGCGGAGGCTTCAGAGTATGGCACCCGGTAGCTTTTAATTGAAGCACGCTGGTTCGGCACAGACTAACCGGCCCACACAGTAGATTAAAAAAACAAAACAACACCTAGAGTTCAACCCCCCGCTTTTATCTCTTCCTCTGTCTGTGTCTCACATTCTGATACTTTTGTTTCAGGCTTGTTCTTTGTTTTCTTAATCTCTTCTTTGTTTATTTTTCTTTCAAAGTATTTCTTTGTCTGTCTTTCTATACTTTCATTTTTTTCATTCTTTTTTTCTATTTCCTTTCGCCGCTTTCTTTCTCTCACTACTTTTTTTCTTTATTCATTGTCTTCCTTTTTTTCGTCCTCTCTCTATCTCTTTCGCGGGCTGTACCTCGCCTAGCAAGGACGTAAGGAAAATAGGAGGAAAATAACGGCAGGGAGGTTAACCAGCCTATAGGCAGCCGGTTTTTTACCCTGCGAGGGAGATGGCGGAGATGAAAGATACAGAGCAGAGAGGGAAGAGAGATAAAGTCTCCATCTGCTCTACTAGGTAGCGGTGCTCGCTGAGTTTCTGCGGCGCATACTCACCTGAGCCGATTTGGAAGGCGCTGCACCAGTTACTAGATGGTCGAAACAGCTTCGCTCATTTCATGAAAATTTAGTTTCCAAAACGAGGTGCCAACCGTTTTATGAGCGATCATTCCTGGTGAACAGTGGCAGCTTACCGAGGAGGAACCAACCAACCAACATACCACGTTCTGAAGGCACGCTGTCATCATCGTCATCATCGCACGAGCACTCGCGAGCGCGTTCTGTTCGTGAGCCGTCCATCGCCCCGGGGCTCGTCCTCGCGAATGAAATCTCCTGTCAAGTGCATCCGCGCTTCGCCATGCACGTCTTGAAGTTGTACTTGATCATGACGCCCTGCATCTTTCTGGTCTTCGAGGCGACGACGCTGTTCGCGTCCTTGTTTCAGCAGATCGGCATCGTCTTCGTCACCCTGGTCCTGGGATGGTGGCTAAGCCTCGCCATCAACCGTCTGTGCTGCTCCAAGGGAAAGCCGCCGCCGCCACGTAGGCTCGCCGTCGTCGTCGCAAGTACTACAAATTATAAATTCGCAGATTATCGTTTCAGCGCCTTTTCGGGCCACCCATTTGGCACCTACGTAAGAGGAGAGAGCAGTGTTTATTGCCTTCACTACCTCTCCAACAGGAGAGGTAGTGAAGGCAAGAAACACTGCTACAACTACCTCTTCATTACTTATTCTTTCGCGTACGAGCAAACTGGAAGCACCAGGCGTTAAGCGTATCAAGATGTCGCGCCTTTCGAATGCGCGCGGTTATAATCGTCTGCGCATTTGAAAGCGCTCAAAGTGAAGCTAAGTCGGCTGATCGCGCATGGCATCAAGCGAGCCAATCATGGACTGCATAGCAAAGCAGAGGACGAAACAATTTACAGCTGAGTTCCTTCACATATTGCCGAGCCGATGTCCTAAAGAATCCACGCGAACAGACTGCTGGTGTCACAAATTGCACCAAAAGTACGGAAAATTGACAGGAGAGAGCAACGTGCTCCTTTTTTGTAGCTGCATAAGTTGCTTAGCAGTCCTTTTTTAGGTTCAGATGCTTAAACTGACAGGCCTTGAGAGGTATCGAACTGGAGGGCTCCACACAATTTTCGCCACAGGGTTTCCTTTAATGTGTTTTACTCTTTTATTTTATATATGATGTTTAACGTCACAAAACCACCATACGAAAATGCCGTAGACGCCATAGTGGAGGGCTCCGGAAATTTTGACCAGCTAGGGTTGTTAGTGACTTCAAATCAGAGAATATGTGCCTACACCATTGACACCTCCATCGGCAATGCAGTCTTCGCTGCAGGGATTCGATCCCGCGTCCTGAGGGTCAGTAGCAGAGTACCTTCGCCACTAAACCACCACGGTGGGTCCCTTCAGTATGTGCGGATATCATGCATTATCTGCGCGGGCTTCCAGTGTTTCTCGAGTGTGCCTCGGTGGATCTGTGGCTAGGGTGCTTGGCTACTGGTCCGAAGGTTGCATGTTTCATCCCCGCCACGGCAGTCACATTTCGATGGCGGTGAAGTGGAATAGCTCCATGTACTGCGCCATTTCTCTGCGCGTTCAAAAAACCCTGGGTTGACAACATTTTTGGTGCCCTCCCTTATAGCATCTCTCGTAATCAAATCGTAGTTTTGAACTTGAAGCAGACATATTATTGTTAGCGTTTCACTTCCGTGGGAATGCGACTGACTCGGCCTGTATAAAATCTGCGTTTTTTTCGTGTCAGCGATTGAGCGCCTAGCCATTGGGTCACCAACACAGCGCCTGTGTGAAAGATACTTACCAAATGACCTAAAGTGTTTCTATATATAACACCTAATCGTAGTAACAACCACAAAAATTAAGAATGAAAAAGACGGATACGATGAGATGACCCCGCATACATGTTAGCGCTACGTTCACGGTGTGTCTGTTTCTTGAGCTGCTAACCGTTGTACCAACTCACCAGACAAGCCAGTCTTTAGAATTTACATAACGAACACGCAGGCTGCGACAGCGAGCACGGATTCATGACGGCCTCCCAGCTGTCTCGCACAGGCTACTACGTGTTGTCCGGCTCCCAGGACATGGGCGGCGAAATGGCCAGGGGCATGGGACACTTCAACGTCGACGTCGTCGAGCTGCAAACGACCAGCGAGAGCTCGATGAACGACGCCTTCCAGGAAATCACCGAGCGGCTCTTCAAGAGAGTGAGCCCATGGCCACTAAATCATTTCATGGAATACAGAATATATATATATATATATATATAGATAGATAGATAGATATATATATATATATATATATATATATATAGATATAGATAGATATATATAGATAGATAGATATATATAGATAGATAGATAGATAGATAGATAGATAGATAGATAGATAGATAGATAGATAGATAGATAGATAGATAGATAGATAGATAGATAGATAGATAGATAGATAGATAGATAGATAGATAGATAGATAGATAGATAGATAGATAGATAGATAGATAGATAGATAGTAGATAGATAGATAGATAGATAGATAGATAGATAGATAGATAGATAGATAGCTCGGCAGCTGCAATTGAGTAAAGTAGGAGGCAAGCTTCGTGCCCCCTTCTGTGGTTATGAAGAGAGCATCTCGTTTTCCTGCTCTTTCCTGCTCACATATCTGCCAATAAATATTGTCTACAAATATGCGTAGCGTCGTAAGCAAGTCAGAAGGCTATTCTATTGGTTCCCGATTTCGCTATCACGTTCTATACTTGAAGACGAAGCTCAAGTGTCCTACAATTTTTATTTCTCTACAAGTAGCAGAGGCGCAACGCCCAAATGTCTTTCTTCTTAATTTTCGAAACCAAATTCATAGTTACAAATCATCAGCGCTTACTCAGACTTACTCAGACTCTTGCCTCATTCCGATGATCATATCCTCTGGCAGCATGCATCGGGTAAAGTGAGGAAAATGAAAGAACGGCAGCACGAGCGCTCCATTTCAGAGATTGCGTTTCCCGTTTGTTTTGAGGGCGTCCTTGCGTCTAGTGTGCACTATAGGCTATAAAGGTCAAACACATATACCACCAGCAGATCTTAACCAGACTGATGAGTAAAGCAACATAATCCGTGAAATTGCGTGCTTGTCTCCTGTGTGTATTCTTTGGCAGACGCACCCCTTCACGCGCTCATCTGTAACGTTGGTAGCGCTGACCTCGGAGAGCTGGAGTGGATTAGCGAGCGAGGCCTTCTGCATGCATTCGACAACACGGTAGTGTCCACTATGAGGCTGGTCAACCGCTTCTTGCCCATGCTGCGTGAGGCTGGCGGAAGGGTGGTCGTCTGTGCTGGACCTTCTGGTGAGTTCACTTCTACATGGCCGAAGTATCTGGTCCTGAGGTTCTAGTAGAAACTCAAGGCAAGACTCTCAAGGCAAGCTATCAGTAAACAGTAGTTGTACAGAACACAATTATGACCAAGACGTTATTCAATTATATTACACGTAGAAAGCAGGTACACGACTGGAGAGTTGGTTTACCATACGGTAAATATATCTGCTGCCCAAGCACCTAAGTGGCTTCATTTTGGTCCTGACAGATTTCGTTGTCCAACTTTCGGACTTTTATTTCTTATTCATTTATTTTTTATTTCTTAAATACTGCAGCCAAAAAGTCCAAGCGGGGTGAGCAAAATACATAATAATAACAGACAACAAGGTTGCAAAGTGTTTTTCTTTACAAAAAGTTTTGTATGTAAGACAAAAAAAACAACTTGGTTATGATACAAATATAAGGAAGCAACAAAAACACCAGTATTCGCACAAATGGTCACGGGAATTGAGGGAATGCTTTCGTTAATTTATTCCAATCAGCTATAGGTTGTAGTAAAAAGTAGTAGCGAAAAGTGTCAATCCTTGCGAATATTGGCGTTAAAGAATGAGGATAGTGGTGCCGAGTAGGTCTGCTTAACAAGGCGAAAACGTACGCTGTGGTGTCCAAGGATAGGCAGTGGTTTACTAGGTCGGAAAGAAAATCTAGTTGGCATTTTTTTCTCCGTCTTTGTAATACTTCATAAATACTTGCAGTTAGTAGTGCAGTGGGGTAGTTGGTTGACTTAAATTTACTATAAGTACACCAAACTGCTTTACTTTGAACTTTTTCTAGCTTTGTAATGTCAATTTTTGTGTGGGGATCCCAAACTAATGGAGTCCTACTCAAGTTTTGGCCTATTTATGGAAAAGTGGGTCAGGAGGCGAGGTAGTCTTGAGCTTGTTACGGAGAAGGCATAATTTCCGAAAAGTGGCCGAGCAAATGTTATTTATGTGTATATTCCAGGATAAGGTACTCGTTAATGTTACACCTAAGTATTTATAGGAAGCTACTTTATGCGAAGGTGCTTCAGTTAAATTATGTATGTTGTCTGAAAGCACTTCTTTGCCCGTTAGAGGGACATACACCAATTTATTTGAATTAAGAAGCATTCCCCATCGTTCACGCAATTTTTAGGCGTTGCTCAAGTTAGTATTAAGATCGCATTGGTCCCTAATGCTGGTTACTTGTCTAAACGAAACACAATCATTCGCAAATAGACGAATTTCTACAGGAGTGCTAATTACAATGACAATGTCGTTTATGTATACCCAAAACATTAAACAAATGCGAATAGCGCATACACTGCTAGGAACAGCTCTGCAATGTAGTACAGTGTTACGCGGCGAGGAAGTTTCAGAATTGCTGCGCGAGGGTACCATTATCTTAAACACGCTCTCTTCATACATAGGTCTGACCTCACTCTCTTCACAACTACCAGCGGCTGCCGTATGGCGTCTCAAAGCAAATCGTTCCTATTGGCTGGCATCCAAGTGTCGCCTTGGAATACGCTCATTTACACGAAGTGTCTGTGTTTTCGAGCGCCACATTTCATGGTATGCTAACATTATACAGTAAGTCACACTCGCGCACAGGAAGAACAACGGGGAGAGCAATCATCTTTCATCCCGCTCCATCAATGTCATAACGTGCGCTGACGTAACTTGGTTACCACGTGCCATCCGTCCCTGCGTAGCTTCCAATGCACTAGTCGAGAATAGCGAGAAAGCTCTTACAGCGTGCTATGTAATCCTTAATTTTTCTTGTTCTTGTCCCATTCAAGAAATGTCTGCAACGATTCCATTGTGAGACAATACGTTTCGAGATTAAGGTAGATTTTTCCATGATTGGAGGAGTGGTATATGACGCCTTTAAGACCATTTTTATTTATCTAAACTACTGTAGTCCCTCGTTTCTTGAAGTTGTCTTCTTTCTTATCTAGACGGAACTCATGCAGCCTCGGCCCTTACTTGCAGGTCGAATCGCAGTCCCTGGAGCGGGAGTCTACAGCGTGCTCAATGCCGCGTTGATATCTTTCGCCGACTGCCTCCGTCGCGAAATGGCGAAGTTCAGGGTTCACGTCGTCCTAGTGGAACCCGTATGGCTGAACTACAGGTACGCGTCCACAACAACGACAGTGAAAAGTACTGACCACTGGAATGGCCAGGGGAGGGTGGACAGGTTGAAACCCACTTTTCCCTACAAAATTTGTCTGTTTTGCATAGTTATAATTGACTACTTCTGATTACAATTTTTTAGATATAAAACAGTGCCATGGTGTCTCGGCCAAGCTGTCTCAGTCGAGATAGCGATATATATGAACGTCCAATAATATTTTCTACAGTTGTGTTCCGAGCGGTTTTCAAGTACGGCTGTTTCATGCTAGATCCATAGCTACAGTAATTGGTGAAAAGCTCTGCATTTATTTTCACGTCAACATGTTGAGTTACAGGCTCTTTTCAGTTTTACCGAGTTTGTTCTCACGAACAGGATTGACGCGCTCTGCCTTCAAAACTTTCGTGAATCAGGTTGGGCGATCTTTCGTTTAATTTGTGCATTGACTTCATCAGCAACAAATACAAATTCAATTTAAAATAATGCAGCGTGTGCAAAACAGATGCAGTCTGTTTGGCCCTGAAAGCATCCTAATAATGAATAAGTGAAGCAACTCCCACAGTCTCCTATGTTTTAGCATAGGACACCTCAAAGGCTACAGTAATCCTTTTTATATCAGTTTTTTATTCGACGGTGTTCATCCTATCATACCATATTAAAGCTTTCAGCTCTTAACATGCTTTTACACTGCCTCCGGCAGTGAACGCGTTAGAAATTTTATGCATATTCTAGTGTTTCGCAGTGCCCTGGGGAATCACCCCACTTTTTTACCAACCAGAATGCCACCTGATGCCACCATCATGTGATGTCAAAATGTCGTCACAAGTTTCAGAGACCTCTCGCGTTGTGCTGACATCACACGACGATGATTTCTTGCATCATTTCATGTCGACGCCAAGGCTGCCGAAGTTTGC